CTATATCTTTTTGATAGCTGGGCACCATCAGCTTGCTTCACCACATTTGCTTATGTACCTGGTTTGTCTTCCGCAATCTTGTTGGGATAGTGAGAATCAAGGAAAACCAGTTTAATAGAAAGAAGTGATCTTGCATTGAGAACTCAAAATCTAAAGAGACTAATCTTACTGGACTTGTTGAATAGACTGGTGACAACTCTAAGACTAAGTCCTTTGTGATGGCTAGAACTTATGTCAACTTGCTGTACCTGTGTGCAGGGAGAGGTGAAGTCCAACCACTCAAGAAGGTGGTAACCTAGGGATGCCTCCCTGGGGGTGTGGCCGTTTGATAAGAGAGACAAGGAGGAGTATTGAGTCCTCTCTTGCTTTTTGCTTGCTTGGATTGGGCATCTGGCTCTGGAGTTGGTGGTCTGTGCAGCCTGCCAACCATGGGAGCTTTGATGACCTGGCATGTTCCTACTGACCATGGATCCATTCAACTCTACACCCATCCTATCAGCTAAGGACCTCTCAGCTTCCTGTTTCACATCCCTGTTTCATTAACCAGCAGCCAACCGCTTCATACACGAGAGCCTTAAGTTAACATCTAACTCATGGGCTTGACTTGCACTGGGCTGGGTCATTTCTTGATATGAAATTTGGTCTTGAAATAAAGGTCTTTCTTAAACGCATATGAGTGTTACTGATTTTGTTACACTAGATAATCCAGCCAACACATACTTAGTCACCCTTCAGGTTTGAACCTGAATTCATGTGCATGTTACAATGATGAATATTTAAGATTAAATCACCATGAATAGATACTGGAATATACTGGGCAAGTGTGCAGGAGAGAGTGGGAATATGTCCACATATACCATATGCATTACAGAAATATATATATATATATATACACTTTTATAATTATAACCATGACTATGCTGGAGCATACAGGGGGAAAAGATATGGAAACTTCTTAAACATAATTAAATATTTTAATGGAATAAGTCTCTGGGCTGGTGGGATCAGAAGCAGACAGAGTTTTGGGAGACGTCAATGTTAATTGCTTATTATTCTTAATGTTATCTTTGGAATTTAAAAAGTTATCATTGTGATGGAGCACAATTTATCAATATTTTAAATCAATATCCTTATATTATATGAGGAAAAGCTCAATCATATGAAGAAGGAAGCATCAGGAATGGAAGAAGGCCTATTAATAGCCTGTGATATGTAGATGACATCATCTTGCTTGCTCAAAGTGAGGAGGACTTGAAGCTCTTGCCAATAAAGATTTAGGATCGCAGCCTTCAGTGTGGATTACAGTTCAATGTAAAGAACACCAAAATCCTCACAACTGGACCAATAGGGAACATTATGATCAATGGAGACAAGTTGTCAAGGAATTTGTCTCTCTTGAACCTACTATCAATCCATGCTTGGACCTACAGTCAAAGCAGCAGTCAAGAGCTCAGACGAGGATTTGCATTAGGTAAATCTACTGCACAAGACTTGTTTAGAGTTTTGAAAAGCAAGGTAAGACATATATAAAGAATTTTATTGTTCTATCTGTTTGCTTGTGGTCAATAGTAGCAGAAACCGAGATAAAGGATCTGTGTGTGACTCCCGCAGGGTATGAATTCCAAAGGGGACACCATCCTGTGCATTTGGAGCACAAGTGGGCTGCCACAGACAC